AGTGGCAACGCGGGCAACGTGGCGATGGAAGATATTGAATGTCCCGAAGCTCCAACCGGTCAACCACAAAAAGACGTTGTTTCTTCCAGAAAATAGCCACAGCCAGGGCAGACAAGCATATGAAAGAATGCCGGTGCGATCGCCAATATACCGCCAGCCTTGCTGTGCTTTCGTATAGCTATGGTAAGGTCAGTGGAGGCCAAAGTAAGGGAGCAGAAGCAAGAACGTACTAGAAATTTGGGTAGATAATATAATAGCCGACACAACACAAGATGAATGTCATGACGTAGAAGCACGAGACGACTATCGTCTCCATACGTGTAGGGATGGTCGACCACAGCAGCGGCCGACTGTGATACGAACCGTACGTCGCAGGTATGATGATGTGCGCTCTGAACCAGTGGTGGATCGAACTGATAGCGGTAACGGAATTTGATTGTTTTGATATCTCGCCTCCCTCCAGATCGGATGAGACATTGATATGACGAGACTGGGTGAAATGTGTGATGAACCGGTTGATGATTCCAACGAGAAGAAGGCCTCCCCAGAATCCATATATAGCCCAGCTATACAAATGAATCAGTAAAGTATTCTTCCACGAAAGGGATTGGGCAAGAAGAGAAAACTGCACCCGTATCTTGCGTGAAGAATGTATTCAAGGTTGAAGATACCCTAGCTGTTCGTTAATCGAAAGATACTAAGCGAGTCGTGGGCTGCAGGAACTCATACATAAGTTCCAACTCCAGCCTTCACCACCGTTTTTGACAGTTGAATAGATGTATTCCAAACAGTACCAGCCTCAATGTCACTGTATTCAACAAGAGGAAGGGAGTTGATATAGTCTTCTGTGAGATCAGGAAGCATTTTAGAGTACGGCGTCAACTCGACCGAGCCGTATTCCACACATTCATCTCCGAATGCTTTTGAGCCCGCTATGATTTCGACAGGAGTGCACTACAGCATATCAGAACGCTACTTTGACCGGTTGGTGCGATACGGGACATTTTCCGGTTTGAGCAGGATAGACTGGAAGGGAAAGGTACACGTACATATAGCTTTGCTGCAATCCACATTGATCTCACAATCATGTCTTTGACGCACAGATTCCCCCAGTAATCTTCTGCATCACTGACATTGAATTTGACCTCTGCAAGAGCTGTTCTAAGGCCCTCTACGCAGTCAGAAGGCTTACCCCAGACAAGAGACAAGCCCGAGAGGGCAAGAAGGAGCGCGGAAACCCTCATGTCGAAAGTCGGGATGGTTCAAGCTGGCAATAGTATCAGAAGGCGACCAAAACTGTGACAGATGAGACCCTTCGAGTAGAGATGCGTGGATTACCAGACAATATAATACTTACCGCCGCGGTGGGCTGGAAATGCGCAAAAAAACTGCTCTGGGAACATACCTACGCGCGAGGGACATGCTTCCCGAGCATACCCATTGCACAACTGTATGCGACCCTCTCCCAGATCTGCAAAGAACCGATTGAGATTCTCGTCGGCTCTGCATGTCCCATTCCAGACTCTTGCCAGTGGTGTGATGGGGAAGGATTCCCACTAATTGTTCACTAGCTATAAGGTTCAAGTTCTCGCTTGCCTGGGATGGCCAGTATGCACCTCGCTGGGGCCTTGTGCGAATGAAATGTGGTTACAGATAGCATATTGTGCTACACTGTTACGCTTTGACACGACTTCAGCAAAAAATCTTTAAAGGATCTCCACCACAGGGGAGCACTGTCAGAAACACCGATACCGGACAAATACCCTCGCTATTAGACTTCAATGCTGTTGGTCTTGCTATAAAACTTACTAGCGTAGATCGACGTATGATCTGCCAAAAAGGGTTTTTGTGCAGACGACACTTTTCGTAAAGCGTGAGGCTCAATACCGCAGCCAAGGCTGCTTGTTACCAGTCTATCAAGGAGGGGCAGAATCACAAGTTTCCATGAGCTTGTCCAAGGGAACGTCTCGTGTGTTCTTGGTGGCTATTCCAGTGACAGCGGATCTTGTGACTATTTCTCCCGTGTGGTCTTGTTTGGCTGCAGCGTGGCCAGGCTCTTGCCGAGTGCATCGTGCATCAGATGTTGTGGAACTTTCCTCGTGCTTCATTCATTGTATCGGGCAACTGACGCTGCCGATGACCCTGGTTCTCAGCGACTTCCTCGATCTTCCGCTCGAGCGAGGCAGGGATTTTTTGTGGAACGAGCCAGGCTTGTACCACAGTGGGAGGCTGGAGACCCGGGGACCACCGCACATGGTGATCCATCTTGCAATCGGCAGGTGGACTGAGAAAGAATGAATCCGCGATATCGAGGTCGACCGGTCAGGTGGAGTGTCCCAAGATTTTCTGGAGAATATTTGCGCGATGTAGGCGACTACCCAAATTGCATGGTTGGCCGTTGTCGATACAAGTTTCTGGCCGTGCGTTGGTCGTTGTGGATTCTTTATCGGCGGATCAATGTCTAATCTTATCAGATAATCATTATCAGATAATTTCTGCCAGAAAAACCCTAATGTCCAGCCTAAGGCCAGAACAGTCCATTTTCTTCTCTGTTCTTCTCTGCAACTTCACTCTTCTCGTGATCATGGGTACTCGGTGGCTTGCGTGCCAAGTTTCTTCCCTCCCTATCAAGCTATCAATCCGGTTTCGGCGCGTAAAGCTTGAGGTTCTAAGCACTTGCCCCGGAAGAGGTTCGGACATTTGAGGCTCTCTCCCACACCCCTCCGAAGGTGAAAAGAAGAAAACCTCAAGGCGAGGCAGGTAATAACTCTACTCGAGACCTAAGTCATTTTTGGCAAGGCCAGCTTCAACAAGAACACTCACACCGACTCTTATCCTGAGTGATTTCTCGTGAGAAAAGCTCCATCCATGGTCAAGCCAATTTTTCATGGTCACGCTTCGAAAGCACCGGCTGGCGGCTTGAGTCCTCGCTTGTCATCTCTCCTTTGTCGGCATGCTGTTTCTGGTCCTTGATCCTGGAGCGATGAAGAGATGTGATGATGTTTCATTGCCTCAGACCGCAGGGTCTTGCTCAAAATTGCTCAAATACATTACGTGCTGCCCCCGTTCTTCCTCCTCCTTTTCGTCCCATATCTCGTCGTGACTTTCCATTTCTGTTGCAGATTTCGAACCTTTGAAGCTTCCCAAGTTCATCAAGCCGTAGAAATGGCAGTCATTGGTCTTCTCCTCGCCGCCCTGGCAGGAATTGCTGTTGCGCAGTCAGGTGACCTAGTCACGGTCCTCAACTCGACGAACGGCACTTCCACCATTGGTGAAGTCGTTGGACAGGTCCCTGGTTTCCTAGAAGCTATATCTGGAAAGACAAATCTTACCGTTCTCGCCCCAAATGACACTGCCATTGCGGAGCTTCTAGCTGGACCACGCGGACAAGCCCTCGAAGACGCCGGCACCGACTATCTCCTGAACCTGCTTCTCTACCATGTCATCAACGGCGGCTACGGCAACATCACAGACTATACTGTTGCACCGACACTCCTCACTTCGAGCAACTACACCAACGTGACTGGTGGACAGCACGTCGCGTTCTACTGGGACGATGATGAAGACCTGGTCGGCTTCTATGGAGGCAATGACTATAAACCGGAGGCCAGCCACACATCCATTCCCTTTGATCAGGGATGGATCTATGTCATCGATGGCGTTCTGCAAATCCCCCCGGCCATGTCCGAGACCGTCACCTCGGGCGACTTCAACGGCAGTTCATTTGTTGCTGCGCTGGAAAAAGCAGGACTGAAAGAGGAGTTTGACCAACTTCATGATGCAACATACTTTGTCCCTGTCAATGATGGGTTCGACGCCGTCGAGGATGCCCTGTCAAAGCTGAGCACCGAGGAACTAGTTGAAGTTCTTCGATACCATGTCGTCGCTGGCAAAGTCTGGGACTTTGAGCAGTTGGAAGAAGTAACTCAAGTGACTACCTTGCAAGGAAAGAACTTGACTGTGTCCATGACGCCTGATGAGGAATGGTACATCAATCAAGCAGGAGTCAGCTATACCGACCTCACGGCCGCTGGAGGTGTCATCATCTTCATTGACAATGTCCTGAATCCTTTTGCCGGCTTTGCTCCACCTCGGAATGGCACCGATGGAGACGGTGTGCCTGCGTTCGCCGTCTCGAATGCGACCTCCACATCCGGGCCTGGCGTTTCGAGCACGGCATCTGCCACTGGTGGCGCCGCAAGCTCTACTTACACTGGTGTTGCAGCAATGCCATTGAGTGTTGGAATCAGCAGCTTGTTGGGTGGAGTTGCAGTTGCTCTTCTTTTGTAAGAGCTGTAATGGGAGCAAGCGGGAATAAGCTGCAATTACACGGAAGCCGTAATGAAGCTGTTTGACCTGTAGAAAGCAGATATCAGATGAGCACATAGCCTAGACAGCAACCAGAAGAACTGTAGATCAAGTCGATCCACCTTGCATTCATCTTGAAATAAGCCCATCCACACAACTTTGGCGCGTTAAAACGTGCTTGGGGCAAATATCGTCCCGGTTGCTCTAGGCATGAGTCAGGTACAGAGAGTCATGTCATCATTTCCCTTGCCATTGACCGAATTCGAAATGAACGGTGCCGAATGGGAGGCCGATCCAAAGCAAACACACTTTGGTGAGAAGTCCACATCGGGAAGAATTGTCCGCATCGAGGAGACGCAGCCTTGCCAACACTACGCTACAGCCTCGTCGCGCTGTCATTATTGAATTGAACCAAGAAACCTCAATCTTACACTGTGACTTCAATGATCATTCAAGACATTAACACCGACCTCTTGAACGATGACTTTTTCTTCCCTCAAGACTTTTTCCTCCTCGCGTCTGCCTACCTTGACACGTCACCGCCCGTTTTCTCCAGCGTTTCCCTCACCGCCCGCAAAAAATTACTACAAACACCTGCCCTTCCCTCGATTTTCTCTTCTTTTCTTTTTCTTTTTTCCCTCTTCACGTCTCGTTCGGGCATCTGGTTTAGCTCACACACACTATTGTCTTCCAACCCAGTGGTCCAGTATGGTTATGACGCAGTTGCCTACCTTGGTAGGTGTACTGAGGTGAGAGTTCGAATCTCTCCTGGGTTGGCTTCGACATGATAGACATCAACTTTTGCTCCAGTGTGTCCGGTCTCCCCATTGGCAAAAGGAGATAGAGATGGTCCCAGCTACACACAAATTTTGTTGATTTTCTTTTTCTTTTTGTTCTTTTTCCGCTCCTGTCGTTCTCTTTCCCTTTTCCGGGACAAAGGAGTGACGGAGGTGTGAAGAAGAGAAAAAGGGAGAGAGAGAATCCGAGATTTCCTTTCACTTGCTGGTGAGGGTTCTCGGTCTTTTGCGTCTCTGACGTATCGATCGAGATTCCCAGTTCCCGACGCTGACAAGGGACAAAAAACCTCGAGCCTTTTTCCCTTTTTTCACTTTCGGTTTTTCATCTTTCGAAATTCGAAACAAAAAGAAAAAGAAAAAAGTCATCTCGCAAAAGGGTATCAGTGTGACGCCATGTCTTGTCCCAGCTGATGAGGGGGTCGTGACTAGGAGGGGGTACCGTTTTGACGGCATCACTGCTCGGCATTGTTTGCACCCAAGTAGGTGTTTGGATGTTCCTCGACCTGCATGCGCCTTTTAGCTAAGGCTATTCCCTCCGATGACTGTCCTTACGGCTCGCTGGTGGTCTTTAGCTCCTTCGGGGGGGATTCGCTGCGGGGGGTTCTTCTCATGATGATGGCAATCCAGGAATATTTTGATGCAAAAAAAAAAGTACTTCCTTGCCGAAGTGAGGCCTCTTACTGTAAGGCATGCAGGAAAAAAGGGCAACACTTCTCTCTCGGGACAAGTATTACCTTGCATTGTTAGGTGCAGACCATTTTCTTGCCATGACTATGGGCTCGAGGTTGATCAAACCTTCATTGGTTTGATCATTGCCATCACCACCAACCATCACAACATTTCAAGTTGTGACAAGGGGTTTTTCTTTTTGAATCATCATCTCTTCCCTTCTTTCCTCCAGACGTTGTTGACATTTTACTGATTGAATTTCTTTTCTTTTAGGCTTTGCATCTGTTAGGACTCTTTTTTTCATCGTTATGATGGCCTCGCTGCCAGGTAACGGAGAAGAATGCACAATCATGGGCAAACGTCCTTGGTACATGTACCTTCACATTGGGCCCTATAGTCTTACTCAAGTTGCATACCTTGTCTTGTCTACAAGCACATACATTTCCTGTCCTCCCATTAGGTAACAATCCAATCGACGAATCATGACACTGACAGCAATACTACCAGGTCGATCAATTTCTATATCACCTGTCTGATACTTCAAACCGGCAATGTGAATTATTCGTTCCTATGCTTGAAATTAAAGGTCATCATATCTGTCAAGAGTCAAGAGAATCCAGCAGATTCCAGAATATCCACTATCACGACAATCCAAATTCTTCGTTTTCTTTCGCAGAATCTGCGCCAAAGCATCCCTCCAGATAACCAGTCTCCATATTCCAGTGATCCCTCAACTCATGATCCATTCGAGCCTTGACCACATTCCTACCACTGAATTTGCCTCGAAGATGCAAAAGCCTCCCACCTATATCCTATTCCCCTCTGCCACACCACTTCCTGTCATCAATGCTATCTTCGATCTCCTCGACGGCATGTTCAAGACGAGCAATGAGATGTGTCCGAATTACTCGTCATCCTCAATCAAGACCGCGTCGCCCAGCGTCTTCAACGCCTCCATTCGTCTCTCCAGGATTCTTCTCTGAAACTGTCGCCGAACCGCAGCCCCATGACCTGCGACTCTAAAGAACAACTGGGCGTGTGAGATCATCATGGCTTGGAAACGTGTGGCGAGAACACCTATCAGCCATTCTTCAAGTGCGTCTGTGTCATCGCTGCGTCCGTTATAAAGCTGGTCTTTCGCGTTGGTATTACTGTTGTGGTTGTTCCTCTTCCTCTTGTTTGCATTGGCTCCTTGGCTGTGGTTCGGGGTAGATGATTGTTGTACAACTTGCATCCCACCGTCCGCATCGTCCGGACGCGAAAAGACCACCATACTCACGTCGAGCAAACATTTGACACCCACCGAGGCCGTTGCGTACCCGCACTCTGTGATCTTCCTCTTGACGAGCTGCCCCATACTGGCCATTCCCAACCGTTTCGCCAGGACGTACAGGTGTGCCGCTCGAATTGTCTCACTTCGATAGTCTTGTGGGCTGTCGACACCGTCGAGTGTCTTGGGTAGGAGGACACTTTTGTCACTACTGTCGTCCTCTCCAGCATAGTTGGACACGATGGCAGGGATGTATTCGTCGGCCAGGAGAAACTGTTGAACAGCAGCAAAGTGGTCCGGCTCGATACTTGTGAGTTTGGGGTGCATGATGAATGTGCCTTCGGCGCCGGTGCCGCTACCACTGCGACTGCTATTGATATTGATTTTGCTGCCGCCGTTGTACTCTCCTCCTTGTCGAGACACTAGAGATTTCAGGACAGGCGACTTGTCCAGACTTTCCAAAGATACCGTGAAGATTTGGTTATGCTGGCCCACGAAGATCGAGACGCGCTCGTCAATGGGGATGCGTGAGATGGACTCCTGCTCCGCTTCGGTCTTGAAGTGAACATGGACGTCATTCTTACTCTGGCCGACAGGGCTTGTAGGAATTTGTCCTAACGAATGTCGTTGCGATTGTGGTTGTGATCTCGGAGGCGAGGCGTATGGGTGATTTCGGCGGCGGCGATGATACTCGGCGCTGTGGTGATGTGGTCCTTTAACCATTGGGTCGGGCTGAGATGGGTCAGCGAAGAAGAGGGCTTCGGTGTCAGTGTCTTGGTTTGCTCGGTGTCCAGCGGCGAACTGTGATAGCGGCGGCGATGGCGTGATAGAATTCGTACGACGTCGTGTACGTTCTGCTGTCCGTGGTGATGGTAACTTGTCGAAGTAGTTGGACATTGTGCTATGTGTAAGAGCAATAGGGATATTGAAGGAAACCGAAGCAAGAGACAGAATGAATGAAGAAGATATCAATGAGAAGAGGGTAATGTGTACAGTATGATGATCAAGAGGCAAATGATATAAAAGTGATGCGAAGCAGATGCGCAGCGATAGGAATGAACAAGTGATAGATGAGCGATGTGCTTTTTGAAGATGAAATGGGAGAAAGTGATGCAGGTGCAAATGCTGATAGTGAAGGGAAATTTGTAGGCTATTGAGGCCAGGAACATGATTCAACATGCTTCAGGGCTCACAAAAACCATGCACGTGCCTCTTGCTGTTCAAGTGTCAATGATCATGAGAAAGACGGAAAAAGAAAGCGAAGAACAGGTAGAGGTGGCCGAATATCTCAATTTCCTATATCTGATCACAAGAGGTCTTTCCATCTCCGAATCATCAAGACCAGAAATGAAAAGGCAGTTTCCCCATATATCAGCAGAACGGTCGACGTCGAGTCGAGAAACTAATCGATACAAACAAAGGAGTTGCGAATTGTAGTCGCAAACTATGTGTGTAGTTTTGACCATTGTTCCAAAAAAGAGCCGAAAGAAGGCAGATTGCGCCAGTCACACACCCTAATGAAAGGCTGTGGAGTCATTAGAAAGAGTAGGGTTTCGATGAACCATTTGGTTAAGTTGGCGGCCAAACCTCGAGGGAAGCGGAGTTGATGCAAAAAAGAAAAAATGCTATCAAAGCAAGTTTTCTATTCTTGTTGAACCCAGTCGCACGTCCGTCGGTGACTTGTTCAACCCTGTTCCAAACACAATCTGCCAGAAACAACATTTACTCTCCTACGTCAGCACCAATGTCGATCCTGTCTCGGTGGTATGGGCGAAACCACTCAGATGACCTTGGGAGAACGGCTGTTGCTGTATAGAGGACACAGGTAAGCTGTTGGGCACAACAGACACAAATTGCAAGAGCGATAGTAAGAGTCAAAACATATCAAGTACGCCACGCAAAGCAAGGCAAAGTAAAGCAGCAAGTAATCCTTTTAGTCTTACCTGATCTCGACAATGTCGTCGATGTGGTTGCACATGGCCACAAAGAGGTCGAAAAACAATTTGCCCCCATGCTCCATTTCCTTCTGCATGGTTCCACTCCTCTTGAAAGTCTTGCGACTTCGAATGATCAGAGCAAGGTAATGAGCGCGGAGGCGCGATTCGGTGTCCGGCGTGTTCTGGTACGCGTACCGAGCAGATCGTAAGATCACGTCGACCTGGATTCCGGACTGTAGGCCTTGCTTGCGAAGAGCAAGGCGTTTCAGTTCCTCCAGGCCATACTTGTCGGCAGCGCAGTAGATGACGGTATCTCGGAGGATATCGCCCACGTCAGGAATGAAGATTGTCGAAGCGGCGTTTCCGCGACCACCATTTTTCAGATCCTGCACTGCATCCTCGAGATCCCAAGTGTTTCGGCGCTTGTTGTGCAGCAAGCGTGGATAGTAGTCACCCTTGTACAGAAACTCAAGCACACAGGACAGGATTTCAGGTTCTTCGTCGGGCAGTTCCACTCGCTTCGAGCCGCCATCCAGAAAGTTGCCTTTCAAGGCGGAAGCGAAGTAGGCGGAATGACAGAGGACGTCTTCATGAGCGGCGAAAAGACGCTGTTCATGACCCACCACGAGAGTAACGATGGGACTCGTCAGTGTACTAAGGGACGGTCTGTGTCAGTGATTGACTAACTGCGCTTGGTCGGGATCTTCTGCCTACCTTGCCACCGCCGAGCCTTCGTCCACTGTGTCCTGCATCTTTCTCTTCACATGTTCGGGATAAGTATTCTTGATGGGTTTCGACTTGATGATGCGACCATCGCGGGTATTAAATGATCGTTTGAACATCTTGTCGAAAGAGCGCATGGGAAAACGATTGTCGAGTACTCTGAAATCAACGAACGGGGTGGGAAGAGGAAGAAAGAACGGCTGAAGAACCTATGACTGGAGTAAAGAGCGTGATAGGTTTTCTGGGTTTGACGCTTGATTCACACACAAGGACCATGTGATGTCGGAGCTGCGAAGTTCTCGAGGATGACTCCCTCGCCTGCCAGCCTCATTCGGACGAAAGAAGCCGGACAGCCAATGAAGACCACACTAGAGAACTTG